CAATTGCACCAAGGCGCTTTCCAGCGTGCACATGGGTATTTCAAAGCCCTGTTGTGCTTCCAGCACATTAGCGAACCCAGCTGTCTACAAATTCTCTGCTTGTTTGTAGTCCTCATTAAATACGAAGAATTGCTGCCACTCCTGTGCAGCAGCCTGTTGGCATCAAGGCAAGAAGTAATTAATTCTTCCCATGGAATTCTTGCCTCTGCGCTGCTTTGGCCAGAAACCTTTCCTTCCTTCCTCTCTTCTGCCTACCCACCCTCCTTTCCTTCCTACTCCTACATTCTACTCTTCCAGTCCAAACCTAAAATACTGTAGTGAAGGAAAAACAACAATGTCAATGCAACAAGATCAAACAACCCACACAAGGTGCAAACAAATCACACTGAAAAACTGACAAGTTCTGCCTGCCCTAACTTTCACAGTAACCTTTCAGGCATTTAAATATCATCTCTTCTCAAGCAGGAACAGTATCTTGGAAACCTGGTTTCTGTGTTTAGCTGACATTTGACAAATGATTTCCTGAAATGCACCAGTTATGAAGCAACATTTCTTTCCCCTTGCAACGTGCTTAACATGTATAATCATAAACAAAGGAATTGCAAACTTGGACATTAATGGGACCCTCTTCACCCAGATTTTTTTTTTTTGGGGGGGGGGGGAAGAGACCCTTTCCAGTTTTGTCAATACCAGTAATAAGTCTTGACACACATTGTATGTTAAAAGGCAGGGTTGTTTCTTTGGGATGAGCCAAGGATTGGGCAGATGGGAAAATGTTTAAATTGCTGTTAATTATTAAGTTCTGTTTTAGTTAGCAGAATAGTCATCTGCTTAGATAAGGGGTGCTTTGGGGCGCATTCCAATCTCTTGGACCCACTCCCCAAATGGTGGGAGTTGACCAAAGAGACAAGATCATGAAGCTGCAAAGACAATCCTGTATTTCTGGCTTCCAGGTAACCCAGAAAGTCAACACCGGGAGGAAAACAGGGGAAAAGAAAAGACGCTCTCACCTCTAATCAGGTGCTGCCGTCTTCGCAGGTAGGTCTCGTAGGCAGTGTAGTCGCTATAGACGGTGTTCATGCCAAAACTCTTGCTTTCCAGCCAGTGGGTAGCAGCCAAGCCTCGCGCACAGACTGCTAAAGCTCTCACTTTTAGTCCTTTGGCCACATCCAACACCACTCGCCCGGAAAGCAGCTCTCCTCCCCGGTATGCGACTCCAGGACCGCGTCCTGCGTCCAGCTCCAGCATAAAAGTACGGATCCTGCTGAAATGCTGCATTTCGGGCTGCACAAGCCGCTGGAGAGCGAAGCAGGTTGGAGGCTGCTTCTGCAGCAGGAGCACGATGTTGGCAGGGTGGGTGTCTTTTGTGTGTGTGTGCAACTGCACTTCGGCACGTAGCCCTGAGCTGTGCTCCACAGCAAAACTGATGTGTGTCAGATCAGGCCTTCAGATGTGCAGGTGTGGTGCAAAATCCACGGGTCTGGAGATGCTCCTTATCTCAGTCGAAGGGCCCGGGGTTTGGAGAGGGAAGACCTGAGCTTTGCCTACAACCGCTATCTGCAATCGCACAAGGGGGACTGGCTGCTGATTCTCTTTCCTGTTGACTTATTAGGTGCAGCGCCTTGCCTTAACTGTACAACTGACAGCAACAGGCGAGGAGCGTCACCAGCGGAGACACCTCCCCCTCCTGCTCCCCCCGCTCTTCCTTTAAGGGAGTGTCTTCAAAGTGCAGAGTGCAAAGACGTCGTTCAGCCTATGCCCGGAGATAACAATAAATGCAGGATGGAGGTGGAGAAGTTCAAGCCAGTCATTTCCCTGCTGCGCATTTCTGACACTTGCATATTTGCATTTAACCCTTTGTGAAAGGGATAGCCGCTTTTTAATTTGGTTTTTGGATGAGCAGAATGATTTCGAATGGGCAAATGCTCACACTCTGGATGATTGTTGATTAATAACAATAACTATTTCCAGGGATAATTCCATTTTGTTATAATGTTAAAAACTGGTATTGTATATGAAATGCTGCTAATTATATATCTACATGTGTGTACACACTTGACAGTCATATTTACTTAATTTATCTAACAGTTTTAAGTTGTTTTGGATGTTTAATTATTGATCATTGGGTTTTATTTGGAAAAGTAGAGCAGATAAATGTTAATTGAATATGGAAGGATATGCCTACTTTTACACATAGTGTGTTCATGTGCATTCATTTGAATTTGCATGTGTGTGCATGTTTCTATTTGGAAAATTGCAAACTTACTTATTTGGAAGATTTATATATCACCAACTCCACAAAGTATATATGCATGTTTGTATATATTTATTTAAAGCATAGATATCTAGCCTTTTTGTTGCCTGGGCCACACTGAGTGAAGAGGAATTGGCATGGGTCACATATAAAATTAGAATATAGTTAATGTATATAAATCACATAATAATTTAAAAGATTACAATCTTGTGAGCCCGGTAGTTGTCCAGGGCCATATGCAGCCTGTGGATTGGAGACACCTGATTTAAATTATTTATATGACTGCCAAAATAAAAAAGTAAAAATGTAATTACCAACTATTGTAAGTATTACAGTATAAAGAAACCTGTTTTAAATTTGAATCCCATCCCATGACACCATAGTTTCTGTTCCCCATGGTTTGTGATTTGATTGCTGCACTTTTATCTCTAGCTTTTGAATTAGTATAATTGTTCTTAGATTTATTTTAGGAATGATTGAATAGAAACAACTTATTTTAGAAATTATATGCTTATGGCAGCATTGTCTAACTACAATGGGGATCTAGTTTGGGTCTCAAGAGTATTGTTTGGGATCACATAATTCAATTCTTGAACCCGAGGGTCAGCCTCAATGCTCCATGATTAGGATTTTATTGGGTGTCCTCATTTTCTGATTGGAAAAAAAGACCTCTCAGGAATTCTCTCACCACGATTCCCTTCAAAACCCAAGAGTTGGGATTAGGATTGAAGTGGAGCCAGAGAAGAAAAAGGGATATTGACTGTTGGAAAGCTGACTATACATCTTAAACTTTGTGTCCCTAAACAAATCATTGCACTTGTGAATTTAAGATTAGGTGCTTGGGATGCAACTGAATCTAGATTCAATCCAGCACTTGTCTAATTTAGCAGCTCATCCAAGTGCATATCTTACTTCAGTGGAGCCACTTAGTGCATCTAATGAAGGCAGCTGCAGCTGATGCAACCTCTGAATAAACTTGGTTAGTGACAACAGGCGCTACCAAAATCCTTCTGGAGAACTTATGCAATCCAAGTAGACAATACAACATTAGATTGATTACTAGATAAATGGGGCTGGATCTCATTTGATGCATTTGGTAGCAAAGTTGCCAAGTGTCTGCAGCCAATTTGTTGAGAGGGTTGTTGAGCAGAGGTTTGACTAAAGGACCTCTAGGATCCCTTCCAACTCTGTTATTCTGTATTCCCATTAAATTCAGACAAATGCATCATGCCAGGACTATGTATGAGAAAAGGAGTGTAGTTACTCAACTGACATAAAATAATACAAAGCATGCAACCTCTGAAGTTGCATTGTTTTGCTGAATTAAAAAAAAGCGTAAAGCAAATGAGAAAGTATGCAACAATATTAATTTGTTCAGCAGGTCATATGATATTTGTTCAGGTCATATGGTATTAAGGAAAATCGTGAGGAAAAAAAGATTATGTTATTGTTCTGATTGCTGATGTGGCAAAATGCTACTCTGGCCGTCAATTTTGCACCTAAGAGGACATTCGTAAGGCCCTTTTCTATGGTATTGAGACAATGAGCACAAAATCCAGTGGAAAATTTCTATGGAGATTCTCAGTCATCCAGGACATGGTTGTCCCAAAGGTGCTTTCCAAAAGGCAACTGAACTTCCTTGGATTTTCTTGAAGATGTTTCATTTCTCACCCCAGAAGCTTCTACAGTAAAAGAGTTCAACAAGGCTTCATGGATAAGGACTGAAATATCTTTAAGAAAAATCAAGAAAGTGCAATCGCCTTTTTGAAAAAAACCTTTGGGATATCCAGGGAAAGATCCTTGGATGAAGAGTTGCCAACTGGCTATCTGTGGAAATACCTTTCTCTAAGAACAGCCATCTGTCCTACCAAGTCAAATAGGGTGGGGGCATGCTCCTGGTCCCTTCCTCCAAATATTGGGAGCTAATGGGAGCTAGGGAGTGGCTCTTTTCTGTGGCAGTCCTTGCCTTACAGAGCAGTCTTTCCTCTGAGGTTCAGTCAGCCTCCACCTTTTTAGCCTTCCACAAAGCATTGAAGACTAGTCTTTTCCCTCAAGTGTTGGGTGAAGACTAGATCATCGCACATCAGAACGGATTTGATGCCAGGCTTTTGTTGGTTTTAATGTTTTCATCAGTTTAGAGCTTTCATATGACTTTACATACTTTTTAATTTTTCATTGGAAGCTACCCACAGCAGTTATAAAGATGAAAAGCTGCATAAATATTTTAAATAAAATAATAAAATAAAATAAACTCTCAGAAATTCTGAAGAGATCAAAACTTTTTTAAAAAAATAAAAGTTCTCATTAGTAATTAAGCCAACAATGTTGTCTTTGTTGTTTCTGCTATGGTCTAGCTATGTATATGCTAGAGGCATTATTTCTCAATCTTGGCCACTTTAAGGTGGGTAGACTTCAACTCTCAGAATTCTTCAGCCAGCATGGCTGGCTGGGGAATTCCGGGGGCTGGGGCCTGAAATTCAACCATCTTCAAGCTGCCAAGGCTGAGAAACACTGTCACCATTGTCAGTAAGGAGAAAGATAGAAATCACTTAATGTTGGATGAGAATAACATATATTAGGACATCAACAATCTGTGAAACCAATTCTACCATGAAGCCAAGATTGTGAAGGTTTATGGGACTGAAGGATGGCCTTGATGGCCTCCAAACCACATGGATGTTTTTCAGCAGCCAACCAACAGGCATCTGATTTATTCACCCAAACTTCTCAGTTAAAGAGACATTTTTCAAGAACCAAACTTCTTTCTGGGTTGATACTTGACCATTGTGCCAAGGGGAACATTACTTCCTTGGAAGTCTGCCGTCGCGAGTGTGATTGGTCCGCTGTACTTGTCTGTGTAGGCATCTCTTTGTTCAGTGCTGAACCAACGTTTCCCCTTCCATGGGTGGACCAAATGGGAATATTTAACCTGGAAAGGAAGAAAGAAGGTCAAAGAATAAATCTTTTACAATGTGGTGTTATTGTCATTGGTCACTCAAATCCAGCCCTCCTTGTGATATTTGCAGCAAACAGGATGGGCAGGACAATTTAGAAATTGTTAAGATCCTGTGAGAAATTAGTACAATAATTATGAACAATACAATGATTCTGAAAACAGGTACAAATTTATTTATTTATTTACTTATCTATATGCTGTACTATCTCAATCACCAAGATAACTCTTTAGGCAATTTACATTCTGTGATTAAAACAATAATAAAGTAGTAAAGGTAACTTTACCACTTACTGGGGAGGATATTCCACTCAAAAGGATTAAACCATCAAAACAAACTATTAAGAAGGTGATTCACCACAGCCTACCCCAGGGCTGCTGAAAAAACAAAGTTTTCATAGCTTTTGGAATGCCCAACAGAGTTTGGGCCATGTGGATTTCAGAGGCAGACTCAGTTCGAGGAAGGGCATTCCTCCTAAGCTCCACAAGATGAGACCATAGTGCTTTACAGCTCAGCCCCCCAAACCCTCCTAATCTTGACTCCATAGCAGAGTTGGAGTCAATGGGCTGGAACATGAATGCATAAATGAGTCCATTTTTTTTTGTAAGCCACACAGAATCAATAAGAGTGAGTGGGCGGCCATATAACTTTTCTAAATAAAATAAAATTAGAAGCCTACCAAATGAAACAGCTACTTGAACTGAGAAGACATCCAAGTAGCAAAACAGGTTAGATCACAAGAGGAGAGGAAAATTAAAATACTCTCCCCAACAAATTGGTTAATAGGAAAGGAGATTGTTCTTTGGGTGGTTTGGGCCTAGGTTAATAGCCAATTAATATTTCTTCAATAGGAATGCTTGCTTAAAAGTGAGCTCTGATCACTCTCTCTGAAATATCCAACAGAACTAGCAAAAGAAAGGAAGGGAGGCAGGGAAATAAGAGTTGGCTACTTTTGAATTTGGAGACTGATATACAGGTTGAAAAGATGGAGAGTGGAAAAGGATGCTACGAAAGATGATGTCAGGAGATTTATTGTCCTGTAGAAGAGGGGTCTGCAAACAGGAACTTTTAAGACTTGTGGACTTCAACTCCCAGGATTCTTCAATGGCTGGCTGAGGAATTTTGGGAGTTGAAGTCCACAAATCTTAAAGTTGCCAAGTTGGGGGACCCCTGCTGATAGACCAGTTGCTATCACATAAACAAGAGTAGCTAGCCAATTCTAGTTGGTCTCAAAAAGCTAGGCACCGTCAACCTGGTTAGTATTTGGTTAGAGGTCTTACAATAATTCCAGAACAGTAGAGTACATTAGGAAGTTTTTTTTTAAAAAAACACCCTTCTGTACTATTGCTAAAAAGACTACACTGATGTGTATGTAATTGAATCATCAGATATAATGTGTGATTTGAAGGAGACTTTATCTTTTTTCACCAGTAATACTTAGAGGAAGTACTGCATCAATGAGAAAGGACTTTTTTTTTTTCATCTGAAATGGCCCTGCTGACAATGCCAAAAGGTGTGGGAGAGATATCACATGCTTCTGTAGGGCATTCAAGACAACAAGAATCTTCCTAACCCTTTGCAGTTCTTCTTCTGTCAACTGATACTTCTTCCCTTGGTGCGGAACAAGCATGTCTTGAGTTGTAGTGGTGGGCACTCCAGGCCCTGAATGAAAAACAGAATAACAGAGTTGGAAGGGGCTTTGGAGGTCTTGTAGTCCAACCCCCTGGTCAAACAGGAGACTCTATACCCATGATGGCAAACCTATGGCACGTGTGCCAGAGGTGGCACACAGAGCCTTCTCTGTGGACACGCACGCCATCGCCAGCTGCTGTTCTGGCACACACATGAGCACCAGCCAACTGGTCTTTGCAGGTGCTAGAGCACCGGGAAAAAATAGCCAAAGCCAGACCATTTTGGGGCCTTTTTCAGGCCATTTGGGGCCAAAAAAACAGCCTGATACTGGCCCAAAAAACAGCCTGAAAATGCCCCCCCCCCATGACTAAAAAACAGGTATGTGTGCACTGCCAGCTGGTCTTCAGGTTTCTAGTGCTCAACATGCGCACATGCATGCACGTTCCGATTTGGGCACTAGGTGCTGAAAAGATTCGCCATCACTGTTCTATACCATTCCCGACAAGTGGCTGTTCAGTCACGTGAAAAACAGAATATTAAGAATCAAACATTGCTTTCCCTCCTACAAAAAGTCACTAAGATTAAATGAGAGTTACGCCAAGATGCGTCTCGAATGGAACAAAAAAGGGGTGAAAATTATCTTCTCTCTCAACAAACTGTTAGTGTTCACACATATAAACTGACTTACAGTTCATTGCCCAAGCAACTAAGGAACACATGAAGCCACAAAAAATATTGGTTGAAAATAGCTGAACTTAAATCTGTTGAATGAATTCAGTCACTAGGTTTGTAATTGACCTGATTAAATGAATTATGTAAGCATACTTAGTGGGTTATTTTTCTAACTGGGGGACTCTCACGAATTCTTCTCCCACAATAATTCCAAACCACAACTATACATAAAGATACCTTGTTATGTTTTCATGATAAACATCACCTTTATCTTTTTCATATGGAAATATTAGGGGCATATATTTTCCTGTTAATGTTTCCTCCCCCCCCCCCAAGAATATTTGTTTTTCGTAGGATTATGAGCCATGGTGGTGCATTGGTTAGAATGGAGTACTGCAGGCTACTTCTGACGACTGCTGGCTGCCAGCAGTTCGGCAGTTTGAGTCTCACTAGCTCAAGGTTGACTCAGCCTTCCATCTTTCCGAGGTCTGTAAAATGAGGATGCAGATCATTGGGGGCAATATGCTGACTTTGTAAACCTCTTAGAGAAGCTGTAAAAGCGCTATGAAGCAGTATATAAATCTAAGTGCTATTGCTATTATCTGTTTATTTCAATATGATATCTCCAGTGGCATCTTTTGTCAGAGGTGAGAATGAACAATATAATTTTATTCTATCTAATAAACATTCTTTTGGCAGGGCTCTTGATATTGGAGGGCTGGTGAAAGTGGATTTGATGATACAGGAGGTACTTTTGAGCATAGAATCATAGGGCTGGAAAGGACCTTAGAGGTCTTCTAGTCCAACCACTGTTCAAGGCAGGAGGCCTTATACCATCCCAGTCAAGCTATTCCACTGATTCATTGTTCTCATGGTCAGAAAATATCTCCTTATTTCTAGGTTAGATTTCTTTTTAACAAGTTTCCACCCTGACTTCTTGTCCTGCCCTCTGTTGTTTTAGAAAATAAGTCAGTTTCCTCTTGTCTATGGCAGCCTGTCACGTACTGGAAGACAACTTTGCAACTTCATCATTTCATAACTGTAGAACTAAATGTGGTGCCATCTCATTTTTTTCAAAGGGAAGTCTGGCAACCAATTTCTTTGCTGGCGATTTCTATGTACTGTATACAGGTAGTCCTCTTACAATTGGACCCCAAATTTGTGTTGCTAAGCAAGACAGTTGTTAAGTGAGTTTTTTTCCAGTTTATGACCTTTCTTGCCACAATTGTTAAGTGCATCACTGCAGTTAGTAACACAATTGTTAAATGAATCTAGCTTCCCCATTGTCTTTGCTTGTCAGATGGTTGCAAAAGGTGATCACCTGACCCCAGGACACTGCGACCGTCATAAATATGAACCAGTTGCCAAGCATCAGAATTTTGGTCACTTCGCCAATGGGGATGCTGCAATGGTCGTAATTGTGAAAAACAATCATAAGTCACTTTTTTTTTTTGCTGTTGTAACTTCTGCCATTAAACGAATGGTTGTAAGTCGTGGACTACCTGTGTGTGAATGAGAACCCCCTGTAAGACTTGGCTCTTGAACCTGAAAAAAAATAGGATTGTACCTTCATACTTGAAGAAAATGTGGCTATCAGTTGAAGTTTTGTTTTGGGAATCCATCTTGTGTTTTTCAGGAGGTGGCTGATAGTCAGAATGATGGATACTTTGAAACAATGGCAACTGTTTATCTCCCAAGCACAGCTTTGTTAGTGGCCAAGTCCGTGACTGGGTCGCGAAGTCCTTAGCATTTGGCTTAGTAGAGAGAAGACATGAATACTTTTATGTTTTTACTACCAACCTGCCTTTAATCGAGGACCTGTATACTTCACGAGTCAAAAAGAGGGCTGTGAAAATATTTACAGACCCCTCACATCCCAGACATCAACTGTTTCAACTCCTTCCCTCAAAATGACGCTATAGAGCGCTGCACACCAGAACAACTAGACACAAGGACAGTTTTTCCCCGAAAGCCATCATTCTGCTAAATAAGTAATTCCCTCAACGCTGTTCAACTATTACAAAGTCTGCACTATTATTACTGTTATCTTCTCATCACTCCTTATCACCCATCCCCTCCCACTTGTGACTGGAGGACTGTAACTTTGTTGCTTGTATCCTTACGATTTATATTGACTGTTTCCTAGTATGATTTGATTGCTTATTGTACCCTATGACTATCATTAAGTGTGGTACCTGATGATTCTGGACTCTTGATGAATGTATCTTTTCTTTTATGTACACTGAGAGCATTTGCACCAAGATAAATTCCTTGGGCGTCCAATCACACTTGGCCAAAAAAGAATTCTCTATCTATCTATCTATCTATCTATCTATCTATCTATCTATCTATCTATCTATCATCTATCAATCATCTATTTAAGTGTCCTAAATCTCTCCTCATTCACCTTCATTCAATAATCCTGAATTTAAAAGCACATTAACAAAACTATTTTCTTCTCTCCATTTTCTTAACATTGCAGATATCATAGTAAAAATGTGAATCTCATTGCTATATGATTTACTGTTTAGATAGCTTTTAAGTCTGATCCAGATGACTTTCTTTAGGCTCTTAACTGTTATACATCTCTTTTCCTTGACAGCAGCTGAGGATAGGAAATAGCCTAGAAATATAAAATTATAAAATAAAATATAAAAATATAAAATTATAAAAAGGAAATAGCTAGAGCAGTGTTTTTCAACCTTGGCAATTTGAAATTGTGTGGACCTCAATTACTAGAATTCCTCAGACAACATGGCTGGCTGGGAATTTTGGGAGTTGAAGTCCATGCATCGTTGAAATCCACAGCTAGAGGGCTAAGTTCTTAGCAATGAGAAGAAGAGCTGGGTATTACCTCTTTGTAGTAAAATTGGTTGTTGGTTATACTGGTGCATCTTCTCTTCTCATTGTGATCTCCAAGGAGAATAAACGACTCGTTCTTTTTGGAGTTAGAATAGGATGGAGGGTCTGGAAAAACCACAAAAATAAAGAAACAGAGGGAGACTTAATCAGAACTGTGATTCAATCCTGGGGTTTTTAGTGCCTGAGAAGAGAAGTAAAAAATGTAAATGGTGAGCAGGCCAGGGTCCAAATTCTGTTGATTCCCATCTCACCTCTTCTACACACATCTTTTCAGATGCACCCATCCCATACCTCACTCAGGCATGTACACAGAGAGGGGGAGTCAAAAAGTCAAGCTATTTTACCTGCAGGATTTTGATCACACGTTGTGATCACCATCCCGACGTTTTGACCCCTGACCCCATTCATGCACATCCTTTTATGTGGACGAAAAATGTGGTATAGGTAGTCCTCAATGTACGACCACAATAGAGCCCCAAATTTCCATTGCTAAGCAAGAAAGTTGTTAAGCAGCATCCTCACAGGCACAGGATCAAAATTCAGACACTGGCCACGTGTGTACCACAGTTGCAGCATGTGATTGCCATTTGCCATTTGGGGTCAAGTGATCGCCATTTGCTATCTTATTCGCTTAACAACTGCATGATTCACTTAACAACTGCAGCGATTTGTTCAACACGTGGCAAAAAAAAAGTTGGAAAATTGGGTGTGGCTCATTGAATCGCTTTACTTAGCAATGGGAATTCTGGTTGAATTGTGGTCGTAAGTCGAGGACTATCTGTATTTCCTTCACAACCATCTCTTGCCCATTTCCTCTGAGTGCCAGATTTAAAAAAGACTAAATAATATCACAAAGAAAGTAGGGGAATTGACTAGGGGGAGCATGGCTCGAGCAGTCCATTTCTAACGCACAAGGGGCCATTGAAATAATGAGCAGTGGAGCAGAAAGAAGCTTACATCTTTTAGAGGACAGCTCCTTCCTTCATACAGAAGCACCCTCCTCTGAGCACGTGGCTTCAGGTAACAATCACTCAGGTACAAGGAGTGAGATTTGTCAAGGCGTCTGGAGATCAAAGGAAGAGGAGGAGGAGGCCTCCAAGGGTAGATTCAAACTATGGGCTAGAAGTTCCCCATACTCCCCTAGTAGTTTTGAATTAAGAATAATATCTCTGAGCATGGAGAGAACAAATTCCTCTTTTTTACCCTGTGAAAAAATGCACTGTTGAAAATGGAATTAATTGAGGGATCCCTGGTGCTCTATGAGCTTGGTTTGTTTTCTTGTATAGTGGCACGATGCAAGCTCAGACAGTACCCTGAACTACAAATATTCTCCTTTATGGAATCAACTCTTTGACCTTATGAGCCTGTTTTGACGACTGGCACAAGTGATGACAGAAAGATTTTGGGAAAGTTCTCGTCTCATCTTAGGGAAATGAGTGAAATGATCTCATCTTAGTGAAATGAGGAACTTTCTGTCTTCCTTTCTCTCTTGTTCTTCCTTCTTTTCAAGATGCTCTTTAGACAGAAGTTATGTCTATACTTATGTGTATATTAAGAAATCTATAAAAATCTAGTAGCACTGGTTTTTTTTTTAACTTACAGGTGGTTCTCAACTCATTGCACAACCTTGGTAATTCTCGTTCTTATCAGAGACAATTAGTTGATTGAAACAGCCTTTTAACCGTGAAGGAACGGAATTTGTAAAGAATCATTAAAAGGTTTTGCTGTTACCTCTGTTTTGTGTTTGTTTCCTTGGAACAAGGTTTGGGTCAAAACAAAAGGAAAAAGAAAAAGCTTTCACGAGTTGCCATCCCTTCATCAGATGCAGATAATTTCTTACGTATGATTTCAATTACCGTAAATCTAATGTTCTTTTTCTTTCAAATGTCACAAATGTTGCTTTAGCATTCATTAATAATTGGGCGAAGACCATACTTTACATTCAAGATTATGTCATCCATCCACCTACCCACATGTATGCACATACACACACATACTTTGTATCTCTCTGTGTGTAATGGTACATTGTGCTATTCAGTATTACAGGTAGTTCTTGATTTAAAACAGCTCATTTAGTGACTGTTCACAGTTATAACAGCACTGAAAAAAATGACTAATGACTATTTTCACACTTACGACCATTGCAACATCTCTAGGGTCACGTGATCAAAATTTGGACGCTTGATAAATGACTCATAATTATGACGGTTGCACTGCCCTGTGGTCACATGATTATCATTTGTGACCTTCTGACAAGCAAAATCAAGCTAGATTCAACTGTTACTGACTTAACTACTGCAATGATTCACTTCATAATTGTGACAAGAAAGGCCACTCACTTAACAACTGTCTGTTGCTTAGCGATAGAGATTTTGGGCTCAGTTGTGGCCATACGTTGAGGACTACCTATATTTCACTATTACAGGGGTTCTGCTAAATTTAGATCTCTAATATATGCATTGTGCAGGGTTAACCAAACTGAATATTTAACTGAGCTGGAGGCACTGCCTGGGTTGTTTTAATCTTGGTTCCCTCCCTCTCACCATACCAGGTTGGTTCCATAAGTATGATTCAGACATGATGGTAGAAAACCTGTGCTGCCCATCTCCAGGATGAATATTTGAACGGTGCACCATCGCTGAGGCAATTTGTGGGTCATAGCTGTTGGAGAAAAGTTAAATTATTAGTGATTAAAAATAATGAACTTAATACCTTATTAGATTTCTAAGGCTGCAAATCAAAGAAAATTCAAGATGGTGCACAAAACTTGAAATAATAAAAACCAGTGCAGACATCAAATCACAAGATAGACAAAGCTTATGCAAAGCTAGAGTGTCAGAAATGACTATTAAGCATTGAACAGAGAAGTGTTTCTCCACCGTGGCAACTTTAAGATGTTATTGTTGGCTGAGGAATTCTGGGATCTGAAGTCCTCACATCTTAAAGTTGCCATGGCTGAGAAATACTAGAATAAGGGATGAATCTCTCTACACAAAACTGTTCCCCCTCAATCTATCATAATGACACAATGACAAAATGTACACATGCAGTACAAATTACTTCAACTGTAACCTCAATAGCATTCTCCAAATATATACTATACATTATTTTCCAAAAGGAACTAATTAGAAAACCAGATTTTGTTAAATCCTTAACCTTGTTTCTATATAAAACAGGCTTTAACAAATTAAGAACAACAGTTCCAGTTAACTTTGCTGGCAGGGAATTTTACATAATGCAGTCGCAATGCAGATTGGAGAATTGGGGACAGTTGGTATAATCTTAGTCAACAATTACAGCAAAGTCTTTTAATTGTATAAATTTAGAAAGGTCAAATCTCAGGAGATGCTAGGCTCTTTAAAAACAGAGGTGATGATGATGATGATGATGATCATAATGATGATGTTGTGATAATGATGATTTAATTACCAGTAGGTGGCACCATGTAGCTGACTTGGCTAAGCTAGGAGACTATAGTAACCAGACTACAGTAAATATCTGGGAAGCCAAAGGCTGTAGGCTAAAATGGATAGATCTTAGACTTTAGATATGAAGATATGTTGCACACATACCCCCACACACACCAGAAAAAGGCAATGATATTGTAAATCACTTCCATATTGTTTAAGCAAATTGATTAATTACATCCATGTTAATCCCCAATAGTCAAACTGGAATAAAAAATAATCTTACTTTCTAATTTTTTCAAATGAACTTTTTTTAAAATCAGAGAGGACAGGTAGCAGCATTTAGAGGGTAATAATATAATTTAGGGTCACGCTGATAAGCCTTGTTGCATGGCATCTTGGAAATCTAGTATCAGAAAGATAAATTACATAGATAGTCCTCGACTTACAACAGTTTGTATAGGGACTGTTCAAAGTTATAATGAACTGAAAAAAGTGACTTATGACCATTTTTCAGACTTATGACCATTGCAGCATCCCTACGGTCACCTGATCAAATTTCAGGTGCTTGGCAACTGAGTCATATTTATGACGGTTGCATAAATCAACTTTTGTGACATTCTGACCAGCAAAGACAATGGGGAAGCCAGATTCACTTAACAACTGTATTATTAACCTAACAACTGCAATGATTCATTTAACAAATGTGGCCAAAATAGTAAAAAATATGGGGCAAAACTCATGTAACATCTGTCTCAAGTAGCAACAGAAATTTTGGACCCAATTGTAGTCATAAGTCAAGGACTATCTGTAAACATTTTAAGCAATTGAAACAAAATCAAGAGAATAACCAAGGGACATCCTGGTATGTTCCTTAGAAGATTGCTTAATGTAGAAAGGAGTTTGTAACTCTAGGAGGTTTGAAATGTATTATATTAGCATGACACACAACAGCCTATAGCCTTCTCCATTCCAGCCATCCTTTTCTGAGGCAAGTGTTACAGTGCTTACCGTTGGCCTTCGGGTTTCTGGACAGTATATGCATGCTTCTGCTCACTCACTGCTTGGTGGTGTCGAGGGTCACCAAAGACTATAGATACCACATTCTGAAATAGGAAAATGCGTGAAGTGATCCAATGCTGCAAGTAATGTCTTTCCATCTTGTATTGTGGTGCTATTAGCAAAAGGTGTTTTTCAAATGGTAGGCACAATTGTGTGGAGTGAATCCACCAATGGCTGTGATGTGGGTGGCATTTCTCATCTTAGAAACAGTCTACCTCTGATTAACGCTGCATTATTGCTTCCATGTTTCCCTAGAAATGTTCAGTTAATCACTGTCAGAAGAGGAATGCTCAATTAGCTGGTCCACCAGGGCTCAATTAGATGGCCCACTAGATATTCACCAAGGTTTTCCTTATGTTGGGATGAATCTGCCAGTAGCTATCAGCCATGTTAGCTGACTTGTATCTTCATGGGTAGAAATGGTCTCCCTATGCTGTCCCTCTAGCATCTTAGATTTTGAGTGCCAGCTGTGGAGGTTTTTGAATATCTGTACTGTTAGCAGCTATATACGGTAGTATAATAGCTATATAGTATAGCCAATGGATTAAACTGGTGTGCTTGACTGTCAGGAAAAAATATATCTTTGAAGCGGTGGGACTTTCCTTCTTCTGCTGCTGCAGCTGTAAAAGTAGCTTCTGAACGATCCTTTCCTGGGAGAAATTCCTGATTTTTCCCCTGCCATTGGCCAAAGCTGAAACATTAAATTTGTCTTTTCAATGCATGTCCTCAACTATCAAATATAACTGATACAACCAGGAGTCAGTGATAGTCCTGTTTTTTAAATGAATGTATGTTTGTTCCTTCTTAAAATAGTAGTAGTGGTTGACTACAATAAATCCCATACTTTAATTTATGCTGTGTAATCGAGGGCTTTTTGCTGCCAATGCTCTTTTTTATTTATTTGTTTATTATTACATTGGTATGCCACCTATCTCGCTGTCCAAGGAACTCAATATAGTGGTAAAGGGAGAAAACCATGCCCCTATCCACAATGTCTATCCCATGCATGCTTTTCTAGCTCTCTATTGTCTTTTTGAAGTTAAAAAGCCCTCCAAGTTTTAATCTATCCTGATAACAGAGTATTATAGTCATTTCTCATCTTCCATTGAAGGCTGGGCATTTCTCCAACTTTCTTATATTAATTTTCTATAAAGATCTAGTTGTATTATATCCACAGTTGGGGGATCAAAAATTTCCTTCCATCTTTCCTTAGAAACAGTTAATCCAGAACATTTTCAGCTCCTATTGATTTTCTACCAGTGCTCAGGTGAAAATTGTTGTCATTAATTTTTTTATATTAAAAATGCAATCTCATCCAATTTTGGTTTAATGGAAGTCTCCGACCACTCCACCCCTGTAGGCCAGCTTGTTCATCGATATTTCTCAGGATCTGTTACAGCTAATTCTTCTCCCCTCTGCTACAGGGGTTTTCAAACTTGACAGCTTTAAGACTTGTGGACTTCAATTCCCAGAATTCCTCCTCCAGCCATGTTAGCCCAGGAATTCTGGGAGTTGAAGTCCACAAGTCTTAAACTTGCCAAGTTTGAAGATCCTCGCTCTACTACATAATGAGACCATCTTTCCCTCATTTTTTTGTTGGCTGAGTTCCCTGTTTGATTATTCGTGGAGCAGATGTGTCTAATTTAGCTGCATTTTTCTCCTCCTCCTGATGTGAGAATGAATACTTTGTACATCCCCTCCCTTAGCTAAGCCTAAATTGGTAGCTAGGAAATACAGGTCAGAGGCCAAGTAACCCGAGACATACTTACCTCGTTGCAGGTCTTCATTGGAGGTGCCCATTCACCTGTGAACTGTGATTGATAAGAAGTGTTGAAATAGTTACGACCATCACCTTTCAAGGTTAAACCACCTCCTGCCAAAAAAAAAAAAAAAGATCAGAAAATCCATCATGGTGGATCAATCAGAATAGCTATCTAATCAGGCTTTTATTCCACTCCCCCTTTGCCAGATCAGAAAGATATAGGCAACAGATCCATGTATGAATGTTTGTGTGTGAGAGATATAAATTATACTTCAGCAAGTGAAGTCTTCTTCAAATGTTGTTGAGTCACCTACCACATGCCAAAATTGTTCCAGCCATTCAACCATCCAACCGTACAACCAACCCACCCACAATAGCTTCACAATCTGTCTGGAAGAGGGAAGCTTCTGCCAATTTTAACAGAGATTGAACTCCAGCACTGTTTTTGCACATCACTGCTCCATCTAGCTTAATATTGTTTATTTTGCTTGGCAGCAGCTCTTCCAAACTTGGCTGAGAATATTTTAATTGCAGAACCTAAGATCTCCTGCATGCCAAAGAGATGCTACAGCTCAGAGGTTGAACTTTGCCTGCCCATTTTATCTATTTTATGCATTCTGCACATGATCAGTGGCACTTGGCTGATAGCCCTGGTCAAAAGATTCAGTCTAGGCCCACTGCAGAGATGTGGAAACACTCTTTAAGTATTTAGAAAATTAAAAGCAATGCCCAAAGACTGTCCAGGTGCCATTCTAGGCAAACATCACCATTGGGATATGTCTTCACAGACATAAACTGCCTTGGTGAGCCGCTGTTTACAAGGTTTGGACTTGCTGTAGGTTTGGCAAACGTACCCAAGTGTAGGTTTGGAGCCTTGACTACAGGTACCACCCCTTCATAGGCTGGGTAGGACTGCTGGTAAAGGGTCTCTGGCAGGGGTTCCTTCTCTTTGTCCCCACTGGGAAAACTGTCGTCCCACTTGTCTACACGGTTGGGAGTGGTATGCGGGAGGCTAGGAGGATAAGAATAGCTTTCTCGGGTGATAGAAGTGAGGATGCTGTGGCGGGGATCTGCATGCATTTGGAAGTTGGATATAGGTGGATAAATAGCAGATTTGACATCCAAAGGCCAGCTTGGATATGACAGGTATGATTCTGAGCGAGTGTCCCAGGAATCGCCTATTTCTTGGTTTAGGACATCAGCACATTTGGGAGGCAGAATGGGTTGTCGCTGGTAGGTGCCCCATCTAGGAGGATATTCTATACGATAAGGGGAGATTACTGTGCTACCCTCAGGCCTCTGGTCAAAACCCAGCTTGAAATGGGAAGCCCTCAGGAAAGATTCAGAGGCCAGAGGACCTTGGATTTTTTGGAAGGAAGTAGAGGGCATTGTATAATCTGCGGTTAGGTAGCAACTGGGAGAAGATTAGCCAAGTGCACAGGAGGAAAGATAAAACTAGAAGCAACGAGGCACAGAACTAGAATGCCTGTCACTTCTGGATTTTTGCTGAGGTAAGTAAAAGTTATACATATCTCTTCAAAAAGGGGGTGTGTAGAAGAAAAATAGCCTTCTTCCAGAAATGTGTGTGTGGTTTAAAGGGCAATAAGGAACTACGAATTCAATATTTGTAATCTCTCGTGTGCTGGTTGAGTCAATCAAATATACCTTTGTTTTCTGATGAGTTCTGACATTCCAGAATGGAACACAGCTTTATGAATTATGGCATCACAGGAGAGAGAATTAATCCCAACTTGGTGAAGTTTCTCATGGTAGGTTACCCCCTCTGGTGAGTGGAGAGTCAAATGGTCACTAGAGGGCTCTCTCCGACAGCCCATGAACCACCAGGATGGACGCTCAGGACTGCCAGGCCCCTAAGAATAAAATAAACAACACAACAACTCATGATTCAGACAAACAACAGCCTTGTGTGGGACTGGAGAAGAGGGGGAGCCAATGATGCAGGTCCCAAGCTGTGCTGGGTTAGAGGGAGGCCTGATGGGAGTTACCACTCTCCTGTAACCAGACTTATTGTGAGACCCAGAATCCACTCTGATTTTTGTTTTGCTAAATCAACAAGCAGCCTTGTGATCCTGTTTTGGAAACAAACCTGTTTTATCATTGCAATTGGCTCTCCATTTCATCTGCTACAGATTAGGTTTGAAGTCACAATGTGGCATGTCACTAATATTGTAACCCATATTTCAATCAAGATGGACATTCCATTGCCTAGACTAGCGTTTCTCAACCTTGGCAACTTTATGTGTAGACTTCAACTCCTAGAATTCCCTTAGCTGGCTGGGGAATTCTGGGAGTTGAAATCCACACATCATAAAGTTGGCATGGTTGAGAAATGCTGCCCAAACTGCTAAAGTCTAGCATGGTGGTGGTCGTCTGTAGGTGTGGGTATGAGGGAGGGAGGGAGGGAGGGAGGGAGAGAAAAGGGGAGTAGACTTTCACCAAAATTATGTTTTATAGGTTACCTGGTCATTTCTCAGTGAATTACAGGGTGTGTTCTCCCTAGGTTGTTTCCAGAATGTTTACATCTATTAAATGCTTATTTATTTATTTCCTGTACAATTTATGAGAATCAGCTTTAGTGAAACATCTACGTGCAAGTAGTTCTTGACTTACAATCATTCATTTAGTGATTATTCCAAGTTACAACAGCACTGAAAAAAAGTGACTTACAAACATTTTTCACACTTACGGCTGTTGCAGCATCTCCATGGTCACATGATCAAAATTGGATGCTTGGCAACTGTTTCATATTTATGACAGTTTGTAATATTCCGGGGTCATATCAGGGGTGGGATTCTACCAGTTCGCTCCTATTCACTATAACAGGTTGTTAATATTCTAAGCAGTTCAAAGAACCAGTTGTTAGAAGAAATTACAGGTCTAATCCTGTAAGGAAGGCAGGAAGGAAACATTCTGGCGTTGCTTACAGAAACTGCCCCTCCGTTAACCCTTATTACATTCTTGGCAGGACTAGACTTCCTGTCTCAGGAACTTCTCTGGAGTTTTTTTCTCCTCCTTTGCTGGTACTTTGCTTGTGTGGAGTAACCATTCAAAGTTACAATGGCACTGAAAAAAGTGACTGATGACCATTTTTCACACTTACGACTGTTGCAGCATCCCCACAGTCATGAGAGGCTAGGAGAGGAGATGCGTGCCTCAATGTGAGTGATATTGAGTTGGCCACACCCAGCCAATAACATGAACACCAAGCCATGTCCACCCAGTCACATGACCACCAAGCCACGCCCACCAACTAAGCCATGCCCACCGAACTGGTTGTTAAAAATTTTGAATCCCACCCCTGGGTCATATGATCACCTTTTGCAATCTTCTGACAAAGTCAATGGGAAAGCCAGATTCACTTAACAACCATGTTACTAACTTAACAGCAGCTGTGATTCATTTAATAACTGTGGCATGAAAGGTTGTAAAATGGGGCAAAACTCAGTTAACAACTGTCTTGCTTAGCAACGGAAATTTTGGGCTCAGTTGTGGTTGTAAGTCAAGCACTATCTGTAGCAGGAGGGGAGATTTGGTTTTTTAAAACTCAATTGACAGATTAGAAATAAGATGAAAATTACCGTATACAGAATTCTACAATTCAAAATAAGGATATTATTGGCTGAGTTACAAACTCTACAATACCAAACTCTGGATTAGGGGATTCTTTTAAGTTTAGAACTGTTGTGAAAGTTTAGTTTTATCTTCTCTGGGATTACAATTTTCAGAATTCTCCAAATGTTGCAATCTAACTAAAGAATTCTGGGAGCTGAATCAGTACAGAGTGTTAAAAAACTGATTTATGACTTTCCGTAATTCTTTTTGCAAAGCCACCTAATTGTTGTTTATTCAATAAAGTAACGAGTTACACAATTTATTTCTGTGAGCACAATCTAGGTGTTGAGTTTATGACTGACACTGTGCTTTTTACACCAAAGTAGTAAAAAAACCTACATCAGAACACAAATCTGGACACAGGGATACTATTCATTTGCCAAAGACCCTGAAGAACTACCTTTCATGGCCTCCAGAAGGTTAACAATAAGATGGTGTGTTGTATTTTTCTAAAAGTGATATAAAGAAGGTAATAAATTAATTCTGAAGATGCATCACCTTTAATAGAATCAAGAAAGATTCTGAGTGCAACATGTTTTGTTAAATTAAATACTCTTTCTTGAGAACGGACAAAGTCATAAGAGAAAAAAGCAGGAAATTAAAATACTGAATTCAGCAGTACGAGAAAGAGGAGAGAATGTAATTTTGTAACACCCAAAGACTGAATATTTCTGAAGATACAACCCTTACAGTCTCCATACAAAATTATCTAATTTGATTTCTCCTCCTCCTCCTCATTCTTTATATCTTCCTATCTAAAATGATCTTCAATATTAAAAAAATAACTTGGCAACAGGGAGCTGTGCACAAATTTAAGAAATTGATTACCTGCTAGAAATGGAATCAAACATTGACATCCATTAAAAAAAATTAACAGTGATTCATGAACCCAGTAAAAAGACATCTTGTAATAAAAAAATCTTTTACAGGTAGTCCTCAACTTACAACAGTTTAGTAACTATTCAAAGTTACAAATGGTACTGAAAAAAGTGACCTATGATTAGTTTTCACACTAAGGACTGTTGTAGCATCCCCATGGTCATGTGATCAGACACTTGGCAATTGAGTCATATTTATAATGGTTGCAGTATTATGTGATATCCCTTTGCGACCTTCTGACAAGCAAAGTCGATGGGGAGGCCAGATTCGTTTAACTAATTTAACAACTACTGTGATTCGCTTAACAACTGTGGCATGAAATGTTGTAAAATGGGGCAAACTCACTTAACAAATGTTTCACTTAGCAACATAAATTTTGGCTTCAATTGTGGTCATAAGTTGAGGACTGTCTGTATTAACTGCTGCTGGGGAACCTGCTAATCCCTGCTATAAATTTTTATAATGAAAAAAACGTAAACTTCTGATGATATGTAGTACAGATGTGCTGTTCCTGATTTTAATACTGTTTCCCTGTTGTGACTCCTAAAAATATACTTCAGAAGAATCTCACTGTAAATATCAAAAAGTATAATTGGTTCTGCTTTCCACATTCCAAGGGACTTAGTATACTTTGTTAGGGAAACAATTCTGAATAAAGCTGGATTTTATAGTTTTAAAACAGAGGGAAAGAACCATTGTTGCTGTTGGAAGAATCCTAGTCATATCCTGAAATTAGCTTGGAAGCTAAATTAAATGTGTAACAGAAAGGCCAACTCTGTCATTAAGCTGACTGAAGTAGTAATTTTGGGTAGCAGACCAGAAAAAGCAATATATTGGGATAATTATTTCGGAAGTACAGTAGC